ACAGGGACAGTTGTGATGATGGTGCAGGGCCTGGCAGCATTTCATTCTATTGTGCCTACAATTGCTGTGGGTTGGAGCCAACTTGATGGCCCCTCACACAATAGTAGCCTATAGTCCAGGATAAAGTATAGGTACCTTCTTTCCCCAGATTGTGCCAGTACCCACCAGAGAGTGATACCGCCCACTTTGGGAAACACTAAACCATTGAGAAATAGTAAAATCACATAGCTTCTAGGCCAGTGGTTCTCAACCTTCCTAATGCTGTGACCCACTTAATATGTTGTGGTGACTCCCCAACCATAAAGTTATTTTCGTTGCTATTTCTTAACTGTCATTTTGCTCCTGTTATGAATCAGGCGACCCCTGTGAAAGGGTCATTCAACCTCCCAAAGGGGTCGCGACCCACAGGTTGAGAACCACTGTTCTAGTCAATTGTAGGCCCTTTTATTAGGCAGGGTTCTCTAGAGAAGCAAAACCAGTAATACTTACATACGCCTGTATATAGAAAGAGATTAATATCAAGCAATGGCTCACATGGTTGTAGAAGTGGGTAAGTCTAGTCCAGTGCAAGTCCGTGGGTCAGTCGGTAACCTGGAGACTTTTTTTTGACTCATGTAGCTAAAAGGCTGATGAACCAGGAAGCAAGATGACAGGTGGATGCACAGTTAAATGAATGCAAGGTTAGCGGTCTGCTGACAGCTCTTGGCATTGAGTCTTTGACCTAGTTAAGGAAGCTGGGTTCCCCCATAGCTGCTGGCCCTCTGAGTTAATTACTTTGTTAGAATCCCATCCTGGAGTTGATTACCCTGTATTAGATCACACCCTGGGGGATTACTTCGAAACTACTGAGAACCCTGGGCCCAGCCAAGTTGACACAAAACGTATCACAGTTCTTTTCTTTTTTTTTCATGAGTATGGACTGTATTAAGGAAGTTAACAGGTTATACAAATCAGGATAAGAAATGACCAGGATACAGCAATTATCCAATCAGGACAGCATCTTCCCTTGGCCTCTGTCCTGCTAGGGCAAGTATTACAAAGCTCCTTTAGGGCTGATGAATGCCCCAAGGCATCCCATTCTTCAAGCCGCCTCCTACCCAAAGGCTCTCAGCTTGACTTGTTCTGTTATTCAGGAAGCCTGCCATTGCCTCAAGCTCTTGGTGCTGCTGCCTCTGCTGCCACCTCCGCCACTGCCGCTTCTCCGAGTAGGGATCTCAGGAGCCAAAGGAGATGTTCTGCTCATGGCTCTTCTTTCTTCATGACCCTGAGATTTCCCCTATTCTTACTTCTGAGATAGCTCATTTCATACCCAATGGGATGGCAAAATTGACCAGTGTCCACATTAGAGTCCCATATATCTTATTTGCATAATCTCGCCCAGTCATTGTGTGGGAATTACAAAGACCATGACTCAAACCAAACCAAACCAAACTCATTGCCATTGCGTCAATACTGACTCATAGTGACCCTACAGGACCGAGTAGAACTGCCCCTGTGGGTTTCCAAGACAGGTAGCTTCGAATTACTGGCCTTCTGGTTAGCAGCCCAAAGCGTAACCACTGTGCTACCAGGGCTCCTGAAGACTAGCTAGAAGGGCTATATTTAAGTACACGGTTCTTTTCTTGCTGATGAATAACAAATGTTGCCATAAGAACTAGATTCCATCTAGTTAATATTAGATTTTTGATAAAAAGAAAGGTGAAAGGTATAATTATCCAGAAAAATCAGAAAATATTTACTGGTAACTTTATATTCAGATTATTAACTGATGCTATAAAGTTAGCAATAGCATCTCAACTTCCACAACATTTCATAATTTAGAATAGACACACGAGTCTAGCTACGCCCATGATGGGCACTCAAACCCACTGTCATTGAGTTGTTTCCACTCACAGCAATGCCTGTATGGGGTTTCCAAGTCTTTATAGGAGCAGGCAGTCTCACCTCACCCGGGGAGCAGCCGGTGGCTTGGAATTACCACCATGTGGTTAACAGCCCATTGCTTATCTCGCTGCACGACCAGGGCTCCTTCAGCTAGAATCTGAAACAAACCAACTCCCTGCCATAAAGTTGATGCCAACTCAGAACAACCCTACAGGACAGGGTCAAGTTGTCCCTGTGGGTTTCTGAGACTGTGGCTCTTTATGGGAGCAGAAAGTCTCATCTTTCCCTCCAAATAGGATCCAAGAGCTCCGAATTCTCGTTTCAGTTCCGGTTTGTTCTGGTGAACATGCAGGTCATAATACCATTTCAGCAGCTTCTACTCGTAGAGCTCATTGACTGCGTTCTTCAGGTTTTCATCGTTCATCCATCCTTCTTTGAATTGTTATCCGACCATTGCCTTAAATCCTTTCCCCCTAAAATGTCAAGGTGTTATTAATTTGATCTCACCTAGCTATTTCTTTAAAGAGCACAATTCTCAGTGCAGATACACTTATTCAGATAAGGCACTTCTTGGCTTCAAAGGATCTCCAGGTGTGTGTGTGTTGGGCGGGGTTGGTGGGGGTGTCAGTTTAAGGGTTAAGCATCACCTTGGCATGGTTTCAGGGGTGTGTCCAAATTTTGTGCTTCTTGAAAATCTAGCTTTTATTGCGGCTACATTTTTTTTTTTTAACTGTGAGTTGCGGGGACTCCTCTTAAGTACAGAATTGATCCTCCCTTCCATCCACCTGCTTAAATTGGATCTAAGAGCAGGTGGAATGATTTGAAATGCTTTTCAACTCTAAAATAGAGAGTAATTCTTGACTCCCCCTCCCCCAACCAAGGGACATAGGCCCTTTTGAAAGACCCTTTCACAGGGGTCGCCCGATTCATAACGGTAGCACAATTACAGTGAAGAAGTAGCAACGAAAGTAATTTTATGGTTGGGAGTCACCACAACACGAGGAACTGTATTAAAGGGCGTGGCCTTAGGAAGGTTGAGAACCACTGAGAAGGATCTCTTAAACAAATTTTAACTGAAGTTTGAGGGGCTAAGTCCCATCCATAAACTCCAGGTTATGAACTTGAACTATAGACTAAAGAAAAAGCATAATTGTGAATACTTGAAAGAGTCGGCTAATTTACAAGATTTTTGTACCTGGTGTCAAATTTTATTTTTGTTTTGGGAACTTCCAACTACTAACTGCCAGGTTATTTGAGTCTATTTCTTAGTTATAATATGGACATGTCCACATATGCGTGTGCCTGTTACTTAGAGGATGTACCTATCTTTGAAGGATGATGTGTGTTGGTTTGGGTATTCTTCGTTATTTTTGTGGTTTAAGTGTACTCCTCTGGTCTTGGGCTGTGTGTCTAAGCGCTGGTTTCTTTAAGACCAAGCAGGTTAGCATAGAGAGTGCCCACCCCCAGCCCAGTAGGCGCTCCTTACAGTAAGACACCGTCCAGGCTCGGCAGATTCTTCCTCTCTGCTGCTCGGCTCTGGCAAGTTGCCTCAGCTTGTCGTCCTTTTGCCGCCGAACTAGTCTTTCCGCATATGCTGTAGCCAAATATGGAACTCACTCAACATTCTCCAGGAAGAACATGTTTAAGGTACTAGTCCTTACGGTTAAAAAAAAGTCCATAGGCAGATATTTAGCAAGTAAAGCCCCAGGCTTGCAACAGTCCTTCATTTCTTAAGAAATGACGTATTGGTTCATATGGTTTCAACAGAGAAATGAAAAGTTAATCTTCAGATTAAGCCCGCTTTCCTACAGATTAGAAAGCAAATTTCCTCTTACCCTTCTGCACACCCAGGAGGTCCCCCCAGCTTCACGTGTACCTTTGTGAGACATCCTGGTTTTGTGCCTGAGCATTAGCTTAATTGCTGGCACAGTTCAGTACCAGCTAAGAAGGGCTCATGATGCTTTCTGAAAGCTTATTAATTTGGGAATAAAGTCTAAACCAGTGAGTTTTTTGTTTTGTAAGCTTTCTTTTGTAATGCATCTCCTGAAAGGGATACATTTTACATTATGACTGATCCCACACAGGTGGACATGCACAGACATACACTTAGAGGAAAACCAAGTCAATTGCTGCTGGGTTAATTCTGACGCACGGAAACCGCATATGTGCCAGAATAGAATTGGTCTCAATAGGGTCTTCTCTGGATTAATCTTTCACAAGTAAGTGCCAGGCCTTTCTTCTGAGGTGCTTCTGGGTGGTTTGTAGCTGCCAGCCATTCAGTGAGTAGAAGAGTGTTGAAGTCCATACAAGGCCTGCTCACACAGCTCTTTACATAAAAAGTTTTACCAAATAATAGCTTTCCTTATCATGTACTGTTATTTAATATATATTTTATTCCAGTCATTAAAATGCCCAGGATGATCTATTATGTTACCTACCCAAAGGTTTCAACCTACAGTTTTAAAATACTTGTTTAAGTAGAGGTGAATTATCCTGTCCTTCCTGTCTTTTGATAGTTAGTGATCTCTTATTAGACATTCTCTGCTCTCTTAAGATTGATAAGGTATATTGGGATATAATATAACTGAATTTTCAGATTTTATAACCATTACAGAAGGTAAACCCTTCAGCGGTTACCCAGTCTACAATTCTCATGTAGGGACAACAAAGGATGGAGTATATTTGAGATAAACGCATGTATTTATAGAAAACTCTCCAGGAAACAGAAAACTGTGGATGTTTTTTCTTTCACTATTTTGAGCTTAGGGTGAACAATCTGTTCCTTCATTCTTTCTTCATATGCTCAGCTATTGAGCAACATAATATTAAGCTGTGTGATCCCTTGTTGAAATTGATCTAACTTAATTGGCAATGTGTTGTTTGTCCAATTATTATTTGCCCGTTCTACAAATTGTGCCAAAGGCAGTAGAAACCTTAATAATTTAGTTTGTGGTACATAATTTGTCATTCTAGGAGACTTACCATATTTAAGGTTTCTCCTGCCTTTTCCAGCAGAAAATCCTGTCTTGATAAGAGTTTTCTAATGTGTCTGACTCCTTATACGCACTCAAGATGTTGGTATTTTGACCATTTGTCTGTTAACTTCTTCCCTGCAGAGTTAGAAGTGTTTATCACCAACTAGCCAAGATGAACATGGTGAAAAGGATCATGGGGCGGCCGAGGCAGGAGGAGTGCAGCCCGCAAGACAATGCCTTAGGGTTGATGCACCTCCGCCGTCTCTTCACGGAGTTGTGCCATCCTCCCCGGCACATGACCCAGAAGGAACAGGAAGAGAAGCTGTACATGATGCTGCCAGTGTTTAACAGGGTAAGTCCAGGATGTCAAATACATGCCTTCCAGCGGCTGTGAAAAGTCTCCAGTAGAAAAATTGATGAGATGGGCTAGTCTTTCAGAAACGTGATGTTTCATTCCTTCTTCCAGTGTGCTACAAAGACCTCAAACCCAAACCAAACTGACTGCCATCAGATCGATGCCAGCACATAGTGACCCTATAGGACAGCATAGATCTGCCCCTATTAGTTTCCAAGACGGTATCTCTTTATGGGAGTAGAAAGTCATATCTTTGTCCCTTGAAGTGGCTGGTGGTTTTGAACTGCTGATCTTGCATCTAGCCACCTAAGACATAAGCTGGAATGAAGACTTTATAAAGATTTCCTCTAGTGGTTGAGCTTGGAAGAGGTATATTTTTCTACTTGGGTTATATTTATGAACTGATAGCTTATTGTACCAGAATGGTATTACGGCTTATGCTCATTGTACACTTTAAGGAATAGCTCAATCTGCTGTGTGATAGGACTGGTGTTCTGCAAGTGATCTTATAAGAGCATAGTTATAGGCCATCCTAAAAAAATCCACTGCCATTGAGTTGATGATATAGGCTCATACATGTGCAGACATGTTATAACAAGTTTTTATGAGTTTATTTTGGTAGAAAGGTTTTTGAAATCCATGCACAGTTCTCCCCACCCACCCCCCAGCCCCAGTCCCCAATAGTATGCATTTTCATGAACTTTTTAAAGACCCCTTATGTTTAGATTCCCTGTAGCCTGTAATTCCCTAGGAGCCCTGGTGGTGTAGTGGTTATGTGTTGGGTTGCTAATCACAAGATCAGCAGTTCCCAAACCACCAGAAACTTGGCAGGAGACCCATGAGGCTTTCTACTCTCGTAAGGAGTGACAGTCTCAGAAACCCACAGGGCCCTTTCCATTCTATACAGTAGCTTTGAGTTGCAATCAGTGTGAAGGCAGTGGGTTTTGGTTTCAGTTTGGTGGTGCACTGGATTAGGCATTGGGCTGCTAAACACAAACCAGAGCTTAAAGCCTACCAGTCCATCCACAGGTGAAAGATGAGGCTCTCTGCTTTGATGAAGGTTTACTGTCTTGGAAGGTTACTAAGAGTCTGAATTGACTCAGTGGCAGTGCGTGGTGGGTGAGCTTCTTTTTGTATCCTCATCTTTTTTTTTATGAGGTAGTTAGTTTATTGTGTCAACACAATATTGATAAACATGTGGGGTTAATTGAAGGGCGGAGGGATAAATGGCTCAGTGAGCCTCGCCTTTAGAGTTCTCAGGTCTCTTGCTTTTCTGATGGTCGGACCAGGGTGCAGCTGCCTTAGCCAGTTCCCTGCTTCACCTTGCAAGGCTCACTTCCTGCAAGACATCCCCAAGGAGAAGCCACATCATGGACCTACCCCAATGTAGCCCTGGGTGTTAGAGCAGCCATGTGGAGACCCCTGCCAGCACTGAGATGCTTACACATTCACTGATTTGGCTTCCCTAGTATAGAATTTAGTGGAGGGTGGGGGGAGCCAGCACCCCACCACTAGTCTCGGGTTCAGTAATGCACAATTGTACGGTTGAGATGTATATATATTAAAGTCACCAAGAGCATGAGAGGTATTACAGTAATGTAGTCAGACACATTACATGGTAGCATTGCTCACCTTAGCCCAGCTTGGTGGTCTACGTGGAGAGAGGAGGAAGGGAGAGGTAACAAGGGAGAGAGGACGGGAGAGGACAATGGGAAGAGAGGAAAGCTCTTTATTGCTGACCCAGGGCTATCTACTTTTTGGGGTTGTGCAAGCCCACTAATTACAGGTAAAGACATATGTCACAGGAAGGGGTTGGACTACAGGTTATACAGCAATGAGAGGGGCTGGTCTAGGGACATACATGCAATAGGAAGAGGAGGGATTGGGGGTATACATGTGACAATATGGGTGGATCCTAGATTTAGGATGGCAGTTTAGCCTTCACTTTGACCTGTTCTCTGGGTCTCCATAGGAACCATTATCAATGGGGTGTAAACTCTGCCTACAGGAGCCTGTCCATTGTCCCCAGCAGCAGGGAGCAGGGCCCACTGCAGTTTGGCAACTGATCGCCCTCAGGGGAGCATCTACCTCCCTCCACAAGTCCCCTTTTGTTTTATATATAAAATCCAAAAGCCACATGGGTGACATGGTTATTTTCTATATATTAAAAGCTGTGAAGACAAAACTTCATGATCCAATTAATATGGCCAAAAATTCAGGCTTATATCAAAACATTTTGAATCCCTATGCCTATCTGCTATTGGAGGAAGGTGTGTGAGAGATTGGATACTGCGGTGGGAAGAAATAGAGCCAAATAGGGCTGTCTGCTTCTATAGGGAGAATGAATCAACCATGTGCTCACTTTAAGGCAGCACAGCTATAGAGGGAGAAACTGTAGAAAAAATAGATTACCCTGGGAAAATATACTCGGACTACATCTCTAACTACCAGAGTGGCGGCTTTCCTACCATGGAACACTGGCTTTCCAGATTCCCTCCGTACTTGTCAGGGATTAAGTCCCAGTTTTATTTCCCTTAGTGCTAGTGTCCCACATTTCCCCTTTCTGCATTACATTTAAGATTTAATAGTGTAACGGAGGCAACATGGTCTCTTTCCATATCTCCTAGCTTCCTATAGAAGCAACACGAGACTGTGAGCATCAAAAATATGATGAATAAACAACACAGTCAGACTAGAACTTAAGCTATGTGAAATGCTTTGAGCCCAAACTCATGGGATCCAGCCTCTTTCTATGCCCACCACCATGTTTAAATACCTCAGTTAGTGGAATGCCTTAAATCCACCCTTGAATGTATACAAAATATCCTTATTTAGCTGACCAACATCCAATGAAATGTTTTCCCTTAAAGGCTTGCAAATGATTCTTAATCAAATCCCAATCATGCAATGTTACATTATATAGGTATGGGGTTACACAGAAAAATCAGTTATATTCCAATCACATTAAAGCATTAATTAGCGAGTCCAAAATCTTGATCTTTCAGCAAAACAGCCTGTAGTAATAGTCCAGTCATTATTGTATAAAATGTTCAGCTTTGATAAGAGTTCCAGAGTGTCCCTTAGACGTCCCAATGGAAGCAATCGCCATTCTCAGGAATTTGCGAGGAGGTCTTCTTGACGTTTTGAATAACTTCAGTAACAGGACAGAGGGGTTAGGTTACACATCAGCTTCCCTGCTTTCTTCTGGGCCTTGCTGGCTGAAGAGAAATCCTTCTATCTCCGTTGCCTGTGAAAATATAAACAAATAGCCCCTCTCTTCAGGGTGTCATTAACTTGAAAAAGGAATTATGATTAATATTGGATGGCTTCTCCATCTCTTCCTTGTCCATCTTTCTCCAAACATGGTTGCGTCCTTCTAAAGGGAGTCCATCAGCTTTATTCTGCAAAAACATGACAGAGAATCAATTTTCTCTGTAGAAGTCAAAATGTGTTTATCTGTCCTAATTTTCTTACAAGCTTTTAGTAAGGAGAAAAATTTTTTGGTTAAATTGGCCAAATGAAATTCGTCGTACATAAGATTCCTCTTCTCCCCCTTCTGTTTTAACCATCTTAAAGATGTCTTTAAAGGGCACCTGGCTTGCTCAGAGTACTAATGCAAAAAAGACTGTCTTAACATGGTTAAATTTCTAGAACCTCCCATTCTTGGTTGATGGACTAAATGATATACAAAAGTAACTTGAGGAAGTTTATGCTGAGAACCCAAATTTATACTTTTATCTTTTAATTCAGGTTTTTTTCCCCATGGAATTCCACTTTTTCAAGCCCTTTGTAGACTTAAAAGTTTTAGTATTTTTCATCAACTTCATGGAACAACTTGTTGAGGTTCTTTTAGTTAAAATGCCTTATTTTTATCGACGGTATGCAGGCACATAGTTTTAAAAGTCAAATAGGTCTTTATTGATTAAAGGTGCCCCACCCCTCTCCACTAATTGCCACTACCACTTTCACTCTTTTGGTTTTTAAATAATATAGTTTATCAGTTTGTCTTGATCCTTCCATTTTCACTGGCTTCCTACAGTGGGATCTGAGCATTAATTTTCTCTCCTCCCACACTCATATGCATGACCTTCCTTCTGAGCTTGCCCCGTGAACATGCCACTAACTCAAATGCTAGTCACTGTCTCTGTGCTGCTGCTGACGGTGTACGTGTTATTCTTCCTAAGTTAGCTTTACAGTTTACGACGATTATTTGTCCATTCTTCTAGAACGTGCTTTCCCCAGACTTCCTAGCCCTCACCATTCCTGTCTTCTGCCCTGTGCTTCTTTTTTTCCCCCAAACTCTTCTCACCCTCCGGGTCTTCTTCTTCCATTCGCTCCCCCCTTCCCGCCACCCTCCTTGTTTTTCTATTTTTCAGCCCATATACCACCCCCCATGGCACAGTTTTTTTCTCCCAACTTTGTCTCTCTCTCTCTCTCCTCATTTTTGACTTTCTCTCTATCCCTTTCTTCATCCGCCTTTTCTCCTATCTTTGTCTATCTGACCCTACTCGCTCTCACCCCCACCCACCCACCCCTTCCTGACTGCAGTCTCTCTACATCTTTACGTCTTTCTCTTTCTTCCCCATCTCTGCCTGCTTTCCCTCATCCTGATGCCCATTTCTACTCCAGCTACCAAGGAAAAAAGGATCAGTGTGTTGAGGTGTGTATTGAAAATGGCATGACAGTTAAGAGATATAATAACTTAGACTAGAGAGAATGATGGTTTGGAATCGGGTATTGACTGAGGTGAAAGCATTAGGCAAACCTGAAATATATGTTGGAGGTGAAGTCCACTAAGACCTGTGGAAGCAAAGGATGTTTCTGTCATGAACAACTGGCTGTGGAGGGTTTTTATTTCCTTTACTTGAGGTGATGAGAGATAACTAGTGCTAAAACCAAAGTAGTAGTATTAAGGAATGAAAGGGCTAGAATTGGTAGAGTGCAGATATTTCACCGATACTCAGTGAGGAATAGGGATCTAGAGGTGGTTTTGGAAA